TATAGTAAAATCGTGGGACCAGTAAAAATTTGACGTTATAATCATATTAAACTGTATATTGTTTGTGCAAAATAAAAAAAATAATTTCGGACGATACAATAGCCACGATTATTTTTTTCAAAGACGAGAAATTTTCGTTAGGCATCGACAAAAATTCAACCCGGGCCGACGCGCAACGGAGAGAAATTTCGAAATTGGATAAGATAATTTCATCGAAAATGCATGGTGGCCACGACCTCGTGGTCGTGGCCGGCGAAGTTTGAACGATCGCGCCCAAAAGCAGCGATACCAAAGAAGGTTGGAGAATGAGAAAGAGATCCGCTTTGAGCGTCAAAGTGATTCCGCTTAGTAGTGTCTCCGAGACATAGTCGTGTCCCAAATACGGTTTTGTCGCTTTACTTGTTTAATTTAACCTTTGTGGTTAATATTTAAATAATATATTTTACCAGTTTTACCAGTATTATACAGTTGTCCAACAGAAGAGTAATCTATCTTATTTACAAATCTTTTCAAAATAGACAGTTTGACCGGGCCCTAGACATTTGTCTCATTTGTCTATGCGATGATCCGGCCCTGGTAATAAGCGACCACTTCCGCCAATATATCTGGTCTAAACTCTCGTTCGAACCCACCCTCGAAATTAGGCGCGGGTGTTAACGAATTAGTCTAGCAACAAAGGAAATTCGTTTCAGTTTGTTGGAAATTTCCGAAAAACGAAAAAAATGCGAAGCGCTGTCGTTAGAAGATGGCGTTAAAGTTATCGCAACAGCAATTAGCGGCGAAGTTTAACTGTGGGAAAACGAAATTGATTTTACCGTAGACCTACAGTATTTTCCTCGGAGATATAAAATATTGTACACGATACAATTAATTAATCGGCCGATCTCATCGTTTGATAAAATCTATTTTTATTTATTTATTTTGAAGCTCATATACAGCAGCGGTCCCCAACCTTTTTATCGCCGCGGACCGGTCAACGTTTGATATTTTACCCGGCCCACTGAGGGGGAACGTTGATTGTTTATATTTTAGATTGATTTAATTTAATAATTTTAATTAATTTAATTGTATTTTAAACATGTTTTCAAAATAAAATATAGTTACGCCAAAAAATGAATATAATGTGATTTAACATTTTAACTCACTAGAACGTTAAATCAATGAGAACCCTGAGCTTGTTTCTTTGCAACAAGACGGTTCCATCTGGGGGTAATAGGAGACAATGACACCCGAAGTGTGTTTCTTATGTCCAGTTTATTCCGTTGTTCCGTCGTCCATTAAAAGTCGCACAAACCATAGTAAATAAAATGGAATACCAGTAATTTAATGTTCCTTGTGCGGCCCGGTACCGTTTGATCCACGGACCGGTACCGGTCCGCGGCCCGGGGGTTGGGGACCACTGATATACAGTATACGCGCGATAAATAGTTTCTGTATCGACCTACCTTATTTTCACGATATTTTTAGAAAAATAATATCCAAGTAATTTTCGCAGGCAAAATATTCAAAAAACAATAAACGCATTAATGCAACGATCAGTTTTACGGGCAACCTTCCTTTTTCGATTTCGCAATGACGATCGCGGAATGTACAATAATAAAATCGTTTTATTAATTAATAATTTTTCTTATTGTACTTATAAAATTTTAAAATATTGGTATCTTTAAAATTTGTCTTATAAAATCACGACGACGCCTGTAAATCGAGTTATCCCATAAGAATAAAATACAATACAGTACCAATATAGCCCTATCGTTGAAAAAATTCGCTTAGTTTTGCTGGCCTCGAGTTTTGCTTAGTAGAAATGGCTAAAATGTGCGCAAAATACGTACGGAAATACGGTATTACGGCACCACCCGTCTAAAAGATCACTTTTTGAAGGAACCGTGGGTGGTCGCCATAGACAGGTTTTACTGTAATCAACTAAGTTGCAAAATTTTAAAAATTGTAAATTTTGATGGAAAAACTTTGAATGTCAGCTTTATTACTATAGCGTTATCTTTCCTTGAATTTACCGTGTTAAAGTTTACTCCAACTGAAAGGGGGCTTAGTGATCCAAATTGCATTTTGGAAAAAAGAAAAATAATAAATGGATGAAAATTTTCTGGTAATTACTTTCGATTCTCTCTCGGGCATAAATCTATATAATCTATATTGCGGAGTAGTTGAATAATTAAGAGTTAACTTAGTATAACAGAACCCAGATAGTAAAGTCAAATGTACTAATCCGATGATGGAGTTTAAAAAGGCTGAAAAGTGCTTTATTGTATTAAAAGTGACCCCCTTAAATGATTGATGTTTGTTCTTACCAAGTCAAATTAAAAACTTAATATTATGGTAAAAAGCAAGTAGTCAATATTTTTTTAAACTATTTTAGCATCAAATCCTTTAAATACATAGCTCAAATTTTAAACATAATCATAAATTGACAGAGGTAAAATACGCGTGAACTCGATGTGTGCGCCAGGAATATAGAGTACCAATTTTGTACAGTAGGAATGACCAATAACACCTAAGTATCACAGACATGCCCTGAAGAAATGGAGATTTATAAATCAATTCTCAAATAAAGATCCATCAACTACACTGGTAGTTTCTCTCTTGAATGGAGATCAGTATATGAGGTTCCCAACACAGAATAGAATATATAATAGTAATGATACCGGGGTGAAAGGGATAAGTAAAAAGGGAAAAATTAAGTAAATCTATTCTGATAGTTTTTAATCTTTAAAATGCTCCGTGTAATGTTCTGATAATTTGAATTGTACTCGAAAATTCCATTTTCCATTTGAGCATATTTCTGGTTGCATTCAAAAATTTCAATTTGTCAAGAAAATCCTGAAGACAACCTTTGAAATTGCCTGAAAATATCTGCAATTACAGAATTGCTGATTTAAAAAGGTGATTGAGTACTTCATCCAACATTCTTCATTTTGTTTTCTATTTGTTTTTGTTCTGTGCTTTTTATTTTTGAAAGTATGAAAGAATATCAATCAAGTTGAAATTATAAAATGAAAAGGAATAGGCTTGCAGATTAGATTCTAAAAGAGTAAGCAAGCATCTGCTGTAGCAAAATATTCTAATATTTGCTTCCTCTAGATAACAAAATTGAAAAAATTGGACTGAAAAATCATCCCTGTATCTTCTATCTTGTAAACATTAAATCAAAATCATCTTTGGAGGTTCTACTCTCTAAAGTTTAAGTTTAATGTAAAATCAAGAAACACTAAATTGAAGCTTAAATTTAATTACTTTTAAGGAGAACTGGTTGGGATTAATAAAAATGGATGTATAATAAGGATAAATGTTAAAATGGGAAAAACTTGAAGTGAAAATCTTTCCCTTATGATCTTCATTGGGACTAAATTAAATACTACAAAAACTATTGTTGAGATTTACAGATTAAAATAAACATCTAAAGTTTTTTGAGAAATTTAAAGTTTATCTTTTATTGATCTTGCATTATGTACACAAATGTAGGAATAGGACAGTTGAAAATATGCATTATGTATACGGTAATACCCTGAACTTACGCGATACGTGGGACCGAGCGATAAACACGTAAGTCGGGGTATAATTTTGCAATTTGTGTAAAATCCAAGTCGGATGTATGTAAATACATCCGACTTGGATTTTACACAAATTGCAAAATTGCTAATAAATGTTCTCGTTAATCATATCTTGTCTTTTGATTCGTTCACGGTTACGAGAAATCACCACGTAGAGTCTCTGAAGGCTCCGTAGATATAACAAACACAGAAATAAATAACACAAAATAAATTGTAGCTATGTGTCGATTCTGCACGACACGTCCGAACACGTAAGCCGAACAACAGTATGGGGGAAGTGAGTAATCGAGAGTTACGTGGCACTCAAGCAAAAGACGAATCGACGAGATTTGAAAATCGCGTAACTCCAGGTTTGCATAAATTGAGGTATTACTGTATTTCATTTAGAAAAAAAAATGATCTCGTATCATCACTTAAGACAAAAAGTAAGACAATTAGGACACTCTTTTGAAAAGCAGGATATTTCCTAGGAAAAATAGGAAAAGTAGAATGATTATGAAACCTGAAATTATTGAAATGAATATTGTAGAAAAAATTACTTTAAAAAGATGGACAAAAAACTGCTTAATTCTAGAAACCAAACTATATTTTATTCAAAAACATTTTTGTTCTTTTATAAAATTAACATCAGCTGAAAATTACCAAGTGCTGTACTACAAATACATTCAAAAGACAACCTCTCATTGTTCTAAAGCATTCGATAATTTTCACAGCTGATGATGTTCTTATAAAAAAAACAAAAACATTTCTGAATAAAATTTAATTTGGTTTCCAGAATTATGCATTTTTCTCATCTTTTTGGATATGGTAACAAGTTCATGAAATATTTTTGTTAAAATTACTTTATTAAAAATAATTTTGGAAATTAAATTCAAAACAAGAAAAGAGCATGATTCATCAGTTTATGGAAGACGGGCACTTCAGGATACTCCAAAATGTTTGTTTTATAAATTCCCGAAGCATAGGCAAAGTTTTCACATATATATGTTTTCACCGAGATATTTGTATCTAGATAGCAGAGTTGTTTAGCTACATTTTTATGATGTCTATCTATGGAAAGTATACAAATTTATCTTTTAATTTAAAAAGTTGCAAGTGATTAAAGAAGCAGAAAAGAAAGGGGAGAGAAAATATAATGTATTCAAGAATATGGAATACCAACAAGCACTAGAAACTTTCAGAAAATTATTTCAACTTTCAAAAATTGAATTTTCCAAATTGATTTTGGATTTTTTTCCAGATGTATGAACTAAAAAGATTTGACTATTTTTATAAATTATTGAAATATATGCTTTATAAGACATTTGCTTTTCAAAAATATGTATAATTAAAATTCGTTAACTCATTTTTTATTATAAATGAATAATAGTTGTCACACAATATGAATCTAATCATGTAATATGTAATATGAAAACTGTGTAAAAAAGTTACCTCTTCTTCTTTCCTAGCATTCCTGGTATAATTGCTTCGTATGGTTCCAGAGCAGCATTTTCTGTTGGCATGGCCGGTGAAACGTCACCATTTGATTCTATAGAATGGGGAACGTCCACTTCACATTTTATTTCTTCCATTACATTTTTATCTATTTCCTTATCCTATATGTAAAAAAATTATATCATTTATTTGATAAAATATATTTTAAAAAATTTATAAAATGAAGTAGCTAAAATAATTTGATATAATTGAATATACTACTCAAATGAAGTTTCATTTAATATTTTTATTTGGATTATTTTGTTTATTGATAAAACTTGTTTATAAATGTCTAAATATTTAAAAGTTTCTATAAAAAGACAGACTATTAATGAGATGAAATTATAATTTACAGATGGCCAAAAGGCCAAGCTGTTAAGGTGTCAGCCTACTGCTTTGGGGGGGCCCAGGAATGAATATAAATGGAGAAAATTTTTGGGGGTGATCCATCCCAGATATGTTGGGCTGCATCTCTCACTGCCTAATTGTCCATTGTGAGCCTGGCAAAATCCACAATGAACTAGTTAAAAGGATCATTAGATGGAAAGTCTGTAGACCATTAGGTGAAAAGGCCCATAGACTATAATTCTACCAAAAAGAATCTATGGCACAAAACAGATTAAGAAGTCTTAGAGTGGTAGCTATTGAATTATACTTTCAGAATAACTCTTTCATTATTTTTATTTATTTCTTTCTCAAAATTTATTACAGGTGAAGTAGAAAGTTGTCAGAAAATGACACCTTTGCAAATTTTATAATGTTTTCGTATACAGTTTTTTTTATATTTATTCTTCAACGCTATTCTTCTACTTGTATTAGTTCAGTAATAGAAACTTTGTTTTAAATATGTACATAATACTTTCATTACAAATTATGATACATCTTAAGTTACTATCATCTGAACTGTCACCAGGATTATAAAGTTACTCCGAACTGTACATATAAAATACCAAATCAATACAAAAATAGTATTTCAATATAAATTTAATTTAAAATTATGCAAATGAATTCTCTCTCTTTTTTAGTGTCACAATCAGGTTTATCTCGGCCTTTTGTGTAGTGTTATATAAACTACTAGCTGTTACCCGCAACTTTGCCCGTGCGGATTTTGCAAGCAAAACGCCATTTATATTCAGTATTTCAACAACCATAGTAATTGTTATATAACACCTACCACTGAGAATAATGAGAATTGCTGAGAATCAAACGAACTGTTTTCAATTTACGACTTACTTCTGACTCAAAACCAAAACAGTGCTTATTTCAAAATACTTTCACTAACAATTTGATCAATTTTCTGGAATGTTTACAATTGTTCTATAATCAAACCAATACGCAATAACAAATTCAAATTTAAAACGATTCAATCATTTGGTTAAAAAATCAAAATACATAAAAATATTTATAACAATTCAATTTAATACACCTAAGTATTCAACGAAGACTAAACGTAGTTGAAAACAAAAAATCGCATCTAAAATAGTAAGGTGACCAATTGTCCTCCTTTTGTAAGTTCTGTCCTCCCTCGAAAAGTGTCCTCCTACATGTCCTCCTTTTTGATATTTGAAGACTAATCTGTAAATCTCCGTATTCAATCAATGCCAAACCGATCCGTTGCGTGTAATGTGATATGATGTGTTTGTATTTAACATGACGATTCATCAAGGCTCTGTACAGTGCAATGAGATGCAATTATGAGATGCATGCTCTTTGCATGGGAGACCTTGAGAGAGAGAGAGAGAGAGAGAGCATGCGTGCAAATGGCTTTGTTTACTTCTTATCAAAACATAACATGGCACCTATGCATGCAGTAGAGATTATTATAGTGTATTATTGTTGCAATGAATAAAATGTTTTTTATTTATGATATTTTTTCCTTAAAAATAATATAATAGAAGCCATTCTTCAGGCTAAGCCTTAATGCTCTCCCTCTCTCCCATAGAGGAATTTTGAAAAAAATCCCTTTTTAGCATGCATTTTCATGACCCTAACTGTGTACCAAATTTCACCACTTTAGGTTCAATTGTTTGCTCTGGGCAATGATAAATCAATCAGTCGTCAGTTAGTCCAAGTAATTTTATATACTGTATTTAAATTTTATGATAAATGTAAAAAAAAAAAAATTCCATGGTAAATGTTATTTTATTAATTGTATTCTGAGCAATTTATCTATTGTTAAATACAGAATTATTCACTTATTGATGTTTGCCTACAGATTATTATTATTATCCAATGTCCACACAGCAAACAGGATAGAAATGCTGGTTATCAAAAACATAAAACCACAAGTCAAACACTTCCCAAGCATTTAAGACTGTGTGATATATCTTCAAATGATGCAAGCAGATCCAAGTAAGGTGGCCTTTTGCAGCTGACAGATAGTAATTTTGTCAATATTTATGGCTTGTAAGTGCCGACTAAGATCTTTTGGCACAGCCCCCAGTGCGCCGATAATCACTGGGACCACCTGTACTGGTTTATGCCAGGGATGTTGCAGTTCAATTTTTAGGTCATGATATCAGCTAAGTTTTTCTTGTTGTTTTTCATCAATTCTACTGTCACCCGGTATGGTGGGATCTACGATCCACACTTTTTTCTTCTCCACAATCGTGAAGTCCGGCATATTATGTTCCAGAACTTTATCAGTCTGAATTCGGAAGTCCCAAAGTATTTTGGCACATTCATTTTCAATTAATTTTTCGTGATTATGTTCCCACCAATTTTTTCCTATAGGTATATGATAGTTGTGGCACAGATTCCAATGGATCATTTTGGCCACAGAATTGTCTCTCTGTTTATAGTTTGTCTGGTCAATTTTTTTGCAGCAGCTGAGAATATGATCAATAGTTTCATCAGCTTCTTTACACAGTCTGCATGTTAGATCATCAGCAGATTTTTCGATTCTTGCCTTGATTGCATTTGTTCTGATTGCTTGCCTTATTGTTATTAATAATAATAGGCATTCATTACAGAAAGTTGATTTTCATAATAAATAACAATCAATTAGGAACTGATAAACATTAGTATTGTTAAATTTTTCCAAAACTATTTTGAATTGATCTAGATTATATTGTTTTTCTTTAAGCCAGCTCCACACATTTGAAATTTGCCAAATGCCAAGCAAACACTTGGCCAATAACAGAATAGTGTAGATGATTCGCTCATGACTAATATCAATATTTTATACTATAACATTAATATTTGCTATTTCTCACTCCTTGTCAGTATTTTGTGTTGAATCGAAGGTGACAAATAGGCAATTGTTCAGCAATTGGCAAATATCAAATATGTTGAGCCGGTTTTAGATACCTCCACTTTCACCAAAATGCAATGCTTTTACAATCTCTTCAACAAAATTAACATATATATGCTCAGATTAAACAAACATTATATTCATACCTTCACGCCTACACATTTAATACTAACAAAATAGTATTATAAGCATTAAATGATACATAACAAATTTTAATTGCTTATCTTGTTTATAAACACAAATACAAGAAAAATCATTTATGATTTTTTAATGATATCAATAAAACTGAAGAGAAAAAAGCATAAAAAAGAAACAAGAACTTTTAGTATCAAGCAGTAAAATGAATCAAAAAAAGTTTACTACTACTTTGAGTTACCATCTTTGACCTAGAACTGAATAATTCCAAAGTTATACCTAATTTAAACTGAAAAATGGCTATTCAAAGTAGTTGAAAACATTTGTTTTTTATTTACTTTACCGCTGGTTATTGAAATACAGTGGGTGATAACCTGTTCCAAGACTTTGTTCGTTAACCGATTATCGATTTACCATAGGTTTTTATGGGAATTTGATTAATTCGTTCCGGAGACTGCAAAAAATAAAAAATATATACTTTTTTACTGTGTTTATTTATATGTAATAGTAAAAATACATATATATGTAGTCTTGCATTTTTATTAGTCATGTTTTTTCCATTTGTGGGGGTTAAAGAATCTGTCCAATGTCCATTGCTTTTCTCTTTTCTTCGGAAGTAATTAACAGTATTGTAATTGTAGAGATCCCCAACCCCATGAACCTTATTCTGGTTTGGATGCCACCTAAATGATCATTGTTCTGACATTCCTGGGTCAGATCAGTTTCAGGTTCTATTATGAGCTCTAAAATGCTCTTTATTTCTCAGATGTGATTTTCATTACTCCATTAGCAGCTTGAGACTTCTTGATATATCTTTCATAGCTAAGATTGTGCCTACAGTAGAAGTCTACAGTAGGCACAATCTTAGCCATGAAAGATATCAGTTTCTTTTTTAAATAAAAAGTTCAGAAAAGCACTTACAAAAATTTAGAGAACAGAAATCAACTAGCCCACAAAAAATTATTTAAATGTAAGGCCCAGATGAAAATCAAAATTTGATATTAAAACGTTAACAAATATCCAATGGGACAGTTAAACTTTCACCTTTCGTAAATAAGCTCAGGCGCAAAACTTAACAAGTGTCTGTCCGAGAGTCTTGCGAATACTATAAAAAATTATTTGTCAGAAAGGCAAACAAAAAGCTGGAATTACAAGGGAGAGTTTCAAAATTCGGAGGAATATTAATACTATCCGGTCGATATCGGGTTGAGCGTCGATGTTGACGTCTCCCGCGCTCCAAAAGGTTTTGAATTGTTACCCGAAGACAAGGGAAAATCAATCGGTATTTGTTATTTTCCACCATTTCTTTTTATGTTTGTTCAGTAAAGTGTTCATTGTCCGATCATAAAAATCTTTCGCAAAAGTGTTCGTTAACCAATCATCCACTGTATTTTTATTTCTTTGTGGTTCTTGGACATATATATTGAAAATTGAAAGCATTTCTGAAAATAAAAAAAATTTAATCCAAATCAGAATATTGCAGATAATACAAAACTTTGTGTCTTCTCATATAAATTATATTGAGGAGTGCTATTAACATTAACAACACTGACTTTTTATATAACAAAATTATATATTTATTGAATTTTTCAGTTTTCTATAATATTTTTATGGTCAAAGCTTTCTCAGATAGGTACTGTATGTCTTCTTTTATTAACTTTGTAAGACAATTGTTTTCTGATACCACCTTTCAAATTGAAGTTAATTGTTTTATCTCATGCAGTAATTGCTAATAAAGATCTTCCACAGAGTGAACCACTTAGCTCTATTTTGTTCAATTTATTTGTCGATGTTCTTCTGGATTTTTTTCATAGTCATAATACTGGATATATCAATATCACCACAGGTAGAACTGAATTATCTTTTGTACTGTTTGCGAACGACATTGTAATACTCTCGTATTCACCTATTGGCCTTCAAAGGAAACTTAACCTTCTACAGGATTATTGTAAGTCTAATAAACTACTTATTAACAAGGCTAAATCCAAAGTAATGGTTTTTCGGAGAGGGGGCAGATTGGGAAAAGCTGATAAATTTTATTTATTTAGTTTGTCTTACAAATATTTGGATATTTATTTTACTCCACAGGGCTTGCTTCCTTTTCACTTAGACAAATTGTTTTTGAAATATAAACAACTTGCTAATCTAATAAGGCTCACAGTTAGAATGAAACAGTCTCCTATTAAGTCATACTTTCGATTGTTTGATTCCTTGATATGCTCAAGTTTGGGATTTATGTTTCCAATTTGGGGTCCATTTTTTGTTGATAAATTAGAGAAGACTCAACTGAGATTTATTTATCAGATCGATATTTCATATTACTCATTCGAATTTGGGATGATCACCAATGGCTATACGTTTAGCATTGGCCATTTTTAGATATTGGTTTAAAATCTTAGAACGCCAAAATTTAATCTCAGAAAGACAGTCTATAATAAATTGAAATTAATAGGTAGTAATTCTTTGGTTGTAACTTGGCCTTCTTTAGTCGAACATTTATTATCTGGTTTAGGTTATTCAATTGCTTATTATACTCAATTTCCTGATAAAAAACTTTTTCTAGCTGAACTTTTCCAGTCATTAAAAGATAAATACTGAGCTCAAGATATTCTTTATATCAAGCAAAAATGTAGTTCTTTTGAAACTTCTCTACCTTCTCTATGGACACCTCAAAATTATTTGTTATCAAATTTAAATTATAAGATTAAATCTTTAATAATACAATTACGACTTAATAACTATACTATTGTATTAAATGGGCATAGAATTAATATAGCGGCTTACTCCAATTGTCCTCTATATAACAGAATTTTTGAAAATGTTAAGAATCATTTGTTTGTATCTTCTGAATACACTGAACACTTAAAGGATATTTTTTTGACAACTGATTATTTGATATGTTTTGTTTATACGATGATAATTTAAGTTCTGTAATGTTGTATAAAGTTTATAAATTTTTCTGTTATTCATTAAACATGTTAACTTAATTAGTAATGTTATGTAATATTACTNTATAAAATTTATAAATTTTTCTGTTATTCATTAAACATGTTAACATAGTTTTACGAATTTAAGTTATATCAATTATCATCTATTTACAATTATGTATAACAATGTTTGTATTAATAATGTTGCTAAGTATTCTGTAACCCCTTTGTAAAGTTAAAAAAAAGTTTTCTACAATTTTGTTATGAGGTGTTTAAACTTTCGTAAAAAGAATACAGAAAGCCAACAATTAAAATTCTATAAATGCATATTTTACTTTAAAACTTAAATTTTTGTACATGTACATAGGGCCATTGAGAGATAAGAGCTGGAGATTTTTCCCCATCAGAGAAAACTTATGGTCCAAAAAGTTGTTCCTATCCCTATAAATTTGTGCTATTTTAAAATAAAAATAAAAACTTTAACACTACTTTTTATTAATAAAGAAACATTCTACACATTTCACTTGATCAAATAACAAAAGAAAAAGAAAGGCAAAAGGGAGTCCGCTTTACCCTTTGTACCCCATACAAAGCTTTTGACAGCCCTACATGTATTTTTGCACCATATTTTAATTGAGAAAGGTATACTATTTTTTGAAATTGGAAGTCATGTTTATTGTGAGAAAAGTAATAAATTTAAACTATTTAATAATTTTCATTAAAATTAATTGTTATTGAATATTTATAAATGTTGCCAAGAGAGTTTTGACAGACACTTGATGATAATGAAGAAAAACTGGCTCCATCAAGTGTGTACAAAGGTATGATACAAAATCTTTTTATCATTTGGAATTCTTTCAATCAGTGAAGAAATGTTTTTTTATACTGTTTTTGTTCTTTAATTATGAGCCAAATTTGTTAAATGGAGTGTCCAAAAAGTTACTGTGCAATGAACAAAGGTTTAAGTAAAGTTTTACATAAATTATTTCAATTTCTTTTACAGCAAATGCTGGAAATATCTCAAGAGGCTCCAAAATCCAGGGAAGTAAGGTCTGAAGACTTAGCAGACCAGATTCCATGGGAGATTATGTGATCAGCAAAGAAGTCTTCCAAAAACTGTAGTCAAAAAACCAGAACATCTGTCAGCAAGCAGTAATGCCATCAACTGCAAAGTGGAAATGAAGGACATACAACAGATCTTGTATTCAATGCCATTTATATAACTTTAATGTCATTACAAATTTCTCACCTTACAGTAACTTTTTGGACATCTTGAATAAATTTTCAAGTCATTGATGTAAGTATATACATTTCTTTTTAAAATCAATAAATTGCTTTAGTTTCAATAATAAAAAAATCAAAACACTAGTGTAATTATCATGGGCTGAATCATTTATACTTAGCCTAGAAGTAAACAAGTTATTCTATCTTAAAATTTTTTTACATATCTACTCAGTGTTTTACTTGATCATTCATTAAGCTACAACTATACTGACAGAATGATCCATCAAGCCCTGTCAGTCAGCTTAGAATTATTAACTTATCTTTGATGGAATCATTGTAAATTGAACTGAGACAGATGATATTGGATCTCAGCCACTGACAAATTCAGTACACTGCTTCTCTTTGAAAATTTATTTACATCATTTTTACATAAATTTTTACACAAAATATTAAATTTTGGAGACTTCTCTTTTGGTCAACTCAACATTTTTCTCCTCTTTCTTAGCTAGCATCATCAAAACCTTGTTGTGGGACTCTCTTGCCTCTTAGCAGACCTATTTTGCCTTTTTTGTTTGAACAAATAAAATGTGTAAATGTTCCATCATCAACAAATAGCAGTCTTAAAGATTTCACTTTTTGTAGTAAAAATAGCAATAATTTATATCAATACAAGTGAGAATTACTACAGGCCCTTAAGTTTTCTCCAAGCCAGGGGGAAAAGCTACCTCTTTCCGTCTCGACGACTCCAGCACAATAATACCGAGAAAGAGAATTTCCACAAGGTTAATATGTTTCCAATTTACTTTGTTTTTTTGGCCAGTTCCTCTTCTCTCACCAACCGTCTCTCTTTGAATCCAAACATAGGACTAGCCAAAGCCATCAGATTCTAGACAAATAAGAAAACCCAGTACACACATCAATTAATTACACATCATCTTTGATCAAAGTATTGTCTAGTTTCTCCCGCTTATCTTCATTAATTTGACAGAAGCTAACACATTCGTTAAAGGCCTTTTTACGAGGGTAGTCGTCCAGTTACCTTAACAAATAAAAAGAAGGCCTTTATTAAATGCATTAAATCCCATCGTGATAGAGGCAGTCGGCAAAATCAAACGTTTCGGGCTACTCCTTTTATCCGGACCCTCGGTCAAGACAAAGAGGGACAGACACCGGGTTCATTCGGTCTCATTACGCATACTTACGGTTACAATTCGTAACAATTGTCGGTTTGAGGTAACGAAAAGGCATCTACTGTTCATGTGCATCTGAAAGTGCATCTACTAGCCATCACTTGTCGCGTGTCGCCTAATTATTAGGCGACACGCGACAAGTGGTGGCGGTTAAGGCAATTTGGGGAGAAGGAGGACACTTTACACCATTTTGAAGTTTACCTCGAACCGGTACTACCGCCTATTCTCCACACTTCGCATCGGTCGAGGCTCACCTGTGTATAGTCGCGCACTTGGCAAACGACAACTCGCACCTCGACGCACGGGTGGGGCAAGCCCCCGCACCTCAATTATATAATATCGGGTACTCCGCAAACGGTCGAGCGGTCTACTCGAAGCCAGGACAGTCACACGGGCAGACAGAAACAGAGAAATGCTAATCTCGACAGGAAAAAGCATGCAAAAGTGCCCTTCCCCACCCCGAATCGCCCCGGAACAACCATCGCTCACCACATTTCACCTCATTACTCCTAAGTAATTAAAAAAAAACAGTATACATCCTTTTCTTACCTCAAACCCAACTGCTAATCATAGATAAATCTCGTGCACAATTTATTTTTTCCTACCCTCAACGCACAACGATAACATTTGTTGGATGAAAATCATGCAGCAACAATTGGATTTTTCAAAGATAAAATCTGTAACTAATAAGAAATAAAAGTTTAAACAGGCATGCAAGCGAGTAGTTCCTTTAGTAATAATTAGCAAAATATATGTAAATGCGAGAGAAGATTAAGATGTGGATGATGAGAGAAGGAAGAAATACCTGAGTCATTTCCGGAATATCGGCAGAATTTCTTTTATTATCACAGGAAGGAGGATGAAGCACCGTTGTAGGATGATAAGCGTTCAAATGACGGATCATATTCGTTGTGTTCCCACATAATTTCAATTCGGAGTTGCACCCGAGATTGCACACGACGATCGTCTTATCGACAACGCCTTCTTCCGTCACTTTATAATCGAAATATTTCCAAACAACGCTACGTTTGGACATATTTCTCTTTCAAATAATACTTATAGAAAAACTTGCAGCGGAACGATTTGATAAAAGATGGCCACCGATTGTTGGAACGACGATCGATGATCGACCGCATTTATTCGATCTTCCATCGATCCGGTTAATCATTCGCTAACAAAAATATTGCACTTATCCTTACGGATATTTTTATTTATTAATTTATATCTTTTAATTAGTTTAATCGAATCGATGACGTTTTATCGTATTTAAAATTTTAAATCGTCTTCGATGACGTTTGGCCATTTGAATTAACCGGACGTCTTAAGGCCTTGTAAAATCGAAAAGAATTGCGTTTTTCGAAGGGTTTTTATTCATTTATTATTATTTTACGGCGTTTATTTGTGATTTAAATTATAAAAATATAAGTATTTTTATATAACTGACGAAATCGGTTTCGTCTGTCTCACGCTCTATGTCTGCTCAAATAGTTGGCGCTTGCATAATTTGGTTTAATTTTTTCCTTACTTTTACGCATCAAATTATTTCTTCGTGCTATTTTTCACGCCTCTCTGCCGCTTATAATGCGAGTTTTCAAATTCTAATTAACAATTGACATAGCTGCCGTACGGTGCATTTGATTGACCAATGAGTACGATTGAAAATTCTAGAGGCCCACCAATGGCCCAGCGGTCTTCGTTCCCGAACACTGGGAGTTCGATCGTGGGTTCGCGCCTGACTCGGATGGACTGGCCACGTGGAGTTTTCTGGGTTTTCTCTACGTCTGTAACGCCTAAATAGGGGCCAGTTTCCCTTAAAAAGACCTCCGGAAAGGCACCCCCCTAGGCAGATCGCTCAAGTGTTGCGTTGCCATTACTTAATGGGCGGTCTATCTAGTACATGTCGGGCTCAGTTCCTCACCTTCCAATCATCTCTTTTATAAACCCCTGGTCGATGGGTGCGGAAAGAACCAAAAACGGAAAAAGATGTCATATTAAAAATTCTTTTATTTTTCCAGTGTTCCAATTTATACTTATACATTGGAACACACTCACCGTATATTTTAATTGTTACAGTCATCCTAGTAGATCCCACCAGTAGACAATGGATAAAATCATTAAATACTTGTATTTGGTCGCGGATTCGCGCCTCACCAACGGGCTGCCCAGATGGAATTTCCGGGTTTTCTTTACGTGTGAAGAAGCACAGGTAAAAAAGCGTGTAAAGTGTACGCATAAATAGGAGCGGTGACCACCAGGTCTTCACACCTATTTATGTGTTAAGATGTCAGACCTTGGAAAATACGAGAACGAATCCGGACAGTCAAAACATCCCTGAAATTTTTCGCGGAAGATCCATCTTGGATATAAATTTACTTTTGATTTTTAATCGATTCTTTCTGCCTTGTACATACTAAAAATACTTTTTTACGAAGGCGATCATGGGTTCAATGAGGCTTACAATAGGGCAGCCGGATGATGAAGTACAGATCCCGACATATATGAGCGGGCCACCTTCCGAGCGGTTGAGGCGTCAGTCTACTGCTCTGGTAATCCCGAGATCAAATCCGGACAAACAGGTCGAAAACAGGAATTTTTCAGAGAACGATCCGTCCCAGTTATGTCAGAGCCTGTATCTCACTATCCAGTCACCTCATAAAAGCTGGCTGAATCCATAATGAGCCCGAATAAAAGGCCTTCTCGGAGCCCCACAGGACGGAAAGCGTAAAAAAGAAAATTTTTCGGGAGGCGGTCCGTCCGGATATGTCTGGATTCTGTCCTTCACCGCCCGGCCGCCCCATTGTGGGTTTGGCCGAATCAATAATGGGCTTGCTAAAAAGAGACCCTCTTGGTACGCACAGAGCGAAAAAAGTTTAAGAAAGTGTCGGATAGTTATTTCGTTTTTGTATCAAAGTTGCTTTGTTCGCAAACACGTGCAATTATTCCATCAGAAAAATATTGCCACAGAAAAGCAAATTGTCCTTAATTGCATACGAAGCAACAACTTTTTTGTATTTTGTTGATGCTTTTGTTTAGATACCAGAGCGGTAACTTTCTATTCGAAATCGGGTCGGGTTCTGACTAAACCATTGCAGTTAAACTGTGCGCAAGTTGTAAGTCGTGGGACGAATGGTGGATTGGAAGTTTGCGTCAGCAGCGATAAGTTTGCCGGGCTATTAGTCGGCCCGTATTCGCGCATGTTACGGTAATAAGACAAGTTCCGCTAACGAGACAACTAAGAATAGGTCACAAGTATTCCAGTTTGGGGTATCGTCTGCTGGGGAAATTATAAGTTAGTTGCAACGCGCAAAGGGATTAAAACTGGTACTGGCATTCTATCGTAACAATTGTAAATGTAGCTTTGTAGTTGTAGTATGGAAAACCCTTTCCTATTTAGTATTTTAGGGAGTGCGTAGGCAACTTCAGCGCCCGTTGGATCCGCTTCTGATTATAACCTAGAAACTGGCAATGAAAAATTCCCGGTTTCGATAGTGCCAGGCCTTAACCGTCTCGATCATCCAGCCGTCTTTCCTATTTCATTCTAAAAAAAATCTCCTCTTTTATGTTAAACGGCTAATATGGCAATCTAGATACCAGTTTAATTAAGTGACGTCAAACTTTTTAGATTATCTTTCTAGATGGCGCTATGCCGCTTCAACTTCTCCATAGTTGGTCTTTCTTTATTCTGTACTTTAATACTCGATCTTCCATCCAATGTGTTACTTAATTAATGTATAAAGATGAACTCAAAAGTTCTCGTTTCATTACGGATTGTTCCGTACAAATCCTATTCTGTTTTAATAACTAAACTCGGTTATAATTTACTTTCAACAATGATTTATTTTTATTTTTTCACTGATAAATAATAAATAAATAATTCAAAAAAATTTAATATAATAAAATATCAAATTCTTGTGAAATTTGTTATACTGAAACCGTGTCGATGTCGCAACAGAAATTTGTACTCGGGTTTACACAAAAAAAAACCAATTTCACAATTTTCCTTGTAAAATTATTATAATAGAATCTTAAACCGTAAATAATAACACATTAAATTCTAAATATATAAAATAAATTTTTAAAAAGTAACTATCTCTTGTTATAAATAAATATTCATTCAATAATTATTAAATCGATATACGAATGGATAAAATCTACAACAATTTAAATTTCTAACCAATGACAAACCAGTTTATATATTACCGGAAAAGAATGACGTTAATTTGTCCTTAGGAACGATTTACGCAATTGCGCTTGCGTCGTCGCGTACACTTGCACCGAAGTGAGAAAGGGCGGACACCGGTTTCTAATTCACTCATTTTAAAGATAAATATATATATATATATGTATGTATTTGTATATGAAGTACGAATTAGTTATATTTACTAATTATATATATAGTTTTTTTTAATATAAAAGTTAACGAGAAAGTTTTATAAACGAGCTGATTTTATACTTAATGATATTTAGCTTAATTGTAAATACCTTTTGGTATTTAATTTAGTTTATAACGCATTAATTAAGTTTTACTCCTTAATTAATTACTGACGTTTGTATATTTAGTTAAGGATGAAAGTTTAATATATATTAATAACAGTAATCGATTTAAATTAATTTTTAATCATTTACAATTTAATTTTGAAAATTCAAATTTGAATATAAATACATAAAAGCAAACACTACCAGTTATCAATTACAACAAACACGTACACACAAAATTTCAGAAATTATAATTTTTTCTGTTTTTCTCCAAAGATTTAACATTGAAACATTTATAATAAACCAAATATTTTGTTGTTTTTGTGCCCGGCCGGTCGTCTCTGGAACTTTGACGGATCCGACGTTTTTCGAATGAAAAGTCGTTTAGTTGCGGCTTGCCGACCGAAAATATTCTGGCAGTTTCGAAAGCTTCTAATAGGAACTAATGCTTTTAAGTTGCTAAAGTGCTTAGTCTTTAATAGAAAACGTCTGTGATTAGTTTTGCATGTAGAACGAGCGTAATGTTAACGTCTAACGATTGCTAAACTTTTGGAATTTTGTTTTAACGCGTTACGTAATGGGAGAATCTAGAAAACCGTAAAAAAATTCATTTTTAATGTGGCGTGTTAAAATCGACATTCCTTAATAATAGAATATCCGTCAAATGTTTGCATAAGACTGTCTTTTATTATTTTGAATCGAAAGTTTTCGATAATATTTTTACTTAAATATTTTGTGTACTTGAAATTGAATTTTTATCCTCTAAAGGTAGACTTTAGAACTACTAAGAAACTTGTTTGCTTTTTCATTTTAATTCCAGTAAGTTGTACTTTTGTGTTTTTGGTATTGTTTAAATCTCACTTGTATAGTGTGGTGTTGTCGTTAAATTATTGTGTTTAATTTTTTTACATAAATTTGGTTAAAAAATATTCTTTTTTAATTTTGCAATAGATTTTGAAGATAAAATAGTCTTTATTAAAAACAAAATAGTAATTTTTGTAAATTTAATTTTTGATAATGGTGAAAGTACTAAAATATGATAATTATTTATGCTTCTGAATTAGCTATTCTATACTATTATTATTTCTAATACTACTATTGCTATTACTTGAGTAAAATTGGTCTTTTCCATGTTTTTTTTTTTGTTCTGGTTATTTATTTTATTAGTTTTTCCTTGTCTCTTCTATCCACATGCTTGTTACACTTTATTCTTCCCCTGGTGACCATTTCTGTATTGCTTTTGTTACGTTGTTTTTTATTCATTTTGTACTTTATTTATTTTTGTTTTTCCCCTAATTTTCAGAGTATTTGTTGTTCAGTTGTTTTGAGCATCTATCTGGTTTATTTTGCATCTTTTTTAGTTTCTTACCAGCTAAAGAACATTGTTGGTGCACTTAAATTTTATCTGGTAAGAATCACTTGGTGTGAGAAAATAATTATTTCTTCCATAATATAGTTTCTGTAGAGTAAGTCATTGTCAGTCTAATAACTGTTTTGTAAATTCTTGTTTAAATTTGTGTTTAAGTGCTTATTTCTTCAGATGAAGTCACTTAGTCATTCTATAAGTTTTGTTGCTTTGGTTATCACATTACTGCTAGTATTCTCCCTTCTCAATTGAACTCAATATTGAGATATCTAAGTGTTGAAATATGCTGTATGGCATTTCCTTCTAGTTCATTTATATTCTAATGGTTTGGAACAGTAAACTTGGCTTACTGTTTGGAACCAACCACTGCCACCAACCAAGAAACCAACCAATTGGTTTTGGTGGCAGTGAATGGCAACATTGGTAGTTTGTCACAGGTCATCATCTTCAGGTTCAAACACATTATGGAATAAGTATTATATGCAGACGTTCTGTCAGATTTAAAAAAAATAAGCATCTTAAAGAACTAAGAACACACAACAGATGTGAGTATATAATATAATGATAATTTGAATAGTATATGCCATACTAATTGATTGTAATCTTGTCTGGTTCTACAAGCAATAAAGTTTAGCATGTAGCAGAGTTTGTTGCTAGTCAGTCTATGATACCATATGCATTAGTGAGATCAGATGACAGATCATCCATTTTGTTCGCCTCTCACCACAATAAGATGCGGATAGGATTTGGGGATTTTAACTAGAACCCAGTATGTCTAACCTTTTAAAACTATACTTATTAATAATGTAGGCCTATATGTCATTGACAAAAATTGTAAGAGACCATGACAGATGACATTTTATACTTGTTTATGGAAATAATGTATAGTTTTATTTTGAGGTTGTCTTTGGATTTTCAGTTTATTTGTAAATTTATATTAAATTATATTGCAAAGTACTAATTGCTTTAATGACTTCATATTTTTCATTGAATAATATATATTCTCATCTAAATTAAATAACTTTATAATACCATTGTTTGTAAATATTTAAATTTAAGTTACATAGTGTTGCAATAGTTATAGGGTGATTCAGTTTTTTTAAAACATTATTTAATAATAATGAAATAAAAGAAACTGATATATCAATATGATCAGATATCATACTGATTCAGCTAAATTTTGCAATATTATAAATGATAAAAAATTATATGAGGTAATATATTTTCAGATTCATTGTTTAGGATTTATACCCTAAGTCAGGCATGGCCAACATACGGCCCGTCTAATGAATTTATGTGGCCTGCTATTAATTTTTCAATATTAGCTACTCAAGTCTGAATAGCTCGATGAAAAATTCTGATGCCTAAAAAAAAAAGGGTCAAAAACTCACTGTGCATTTAGAGTTAACCCTCCATTACAAATCTCTTAAGGCTGTTATACACGTTACGGAAATCCTTTGAGGATTAACCATGATTTTTTTTTTCTATCTATCCACCTTTAAATAAAAATAATTCTTTATACGTTGGGAAATATTTTAATAAGTTTTGTAAATTACTATGTTCGATCCAGCCAGTTATATCCAATTTTTTTTGTCTGTTAAGTACATCCTTTGAGGATTTCCGTAACGTGCATAACAGCCTTTAAGTACAGTGTAGAATGTTGATAAGACATGATAATGTGAAAAATGTATCTGTAATCTCTATCTACAATTTAGTCTCTACAGGGTGACACCACAATGAGATCTCACGCCACCTCAAAATCTTCATAGGGCAGCCTCTGGTTTGGCCCGTGGAAGAAGTTTTCTTTCCAATTCGGCCCGGGGCAAAAACTGTTGTCCACCCCTGCCCTATGTACTAAACTTATACTAAGTATGATTTATATAGATAGGTTATACCTATTTGTAGATCAGAATTGGTTATACAGTAAGAAACTATTGAATAAATTGTAAAATTTCAAATTATTAAATCTCTAACTGCATTATTAATTACTACATTCCACTATACCTTTAAAATGCAGTCTACTTTTGGCTAGTTCTCTAACGTTTTTGGTCTAATTCATAGACCTTCTTCAGGATTGATGTAAAAAATTTTAAAAATTTGAACTTTTCCAACGGTAATTCGAACAACGCACGTTCTATAATCTTCAGATATTCGATCGCTCATGTCCATTAGCTCTTTATAATGCCGCCGCTTTCCATGCCGATGCTATTCTACTTGACTCTCGAAAATTTATATTTAGCCCCTTTTTTCTGTATTTATAAATGTGCCATGCCTCTGCATACTTTAGATGTCGTATATTAGCAATCTTTTGTATAATATCCGCCTTGCTCCATTCGATTGTAATTCGATTGTAAAATTTCAAATGATCGTAATTCACAACAACTTATTAGAAATAATTTTTTTCTATTGGTTGATCAAATGAGCATACAATTTGCTACTTTGCCACTCTCTTTATACTATTACTTGCAAGTTCTACTCTCATTTAATTATCTCATATATTAAAGTGCCCTTCAAGTATATTTATAGATTAAGATTAGTGATAGTTTAAGAATTTAATGTATCTACTAAAAAAAGGGCATTCCATATTTAAAAGTCCAGTCATGTTCACTGATACTTCTGTCAACAAATTAGCCAATCCACAGAAATGTCTCAAATATTCTTCTAATTTTATGTTAACATAAGGATGTGAGCTTTAGCTCTTTATATATATTTTCCATATAATTTTTATTTTTTGAAGGTTGATTTGTCTATATTGATACACCAATGTATGTACAGTATATTGATATTGATGTCACATTGTAGAATTAGATCAGATCAATTTTATATAATGTTAAAGTCACATGCAAAATGTGACAACTGCATATGAACTATAACAATTTTCAATGTCTTGAATGAAATGATCCATGATTATACACTAAAGAAAAACATATAATCACTTTGTTTATTAAATATTAAGACAAGTGATAACATTACTTTAGGGTAAAAGTTAATTTAAAATAACTATTTGACTAGAATCTTTGTATTTTTAATTGGAAAAATAATAATAAACTTTAGCAACAAATATTAATAATAGCAGTGTATTGTTTGATCTACTGTAGCTGTCCATTATTTAGGGATGTGGTTTAATTATTTTTTGTAATCGGGCATCTAATTCAGTCTGTTATTTGTATCTTTAATTTATTGCATTTTATTTTTTCTTAATATAATAACAGTCAGCATCTGTATCAGTTTTTATAAATCTATAAAAATATAGAAATTCAAACTTTATGACAACTTTATACTTTGAATTCATTAAAGAAACACTTCAGTAATAACAGAATAACAAGTAGTAATCAATCATAAAATTTTTTTAATGCTTTTATATAATACATTGCTTGATTGATTTAATAATATTTCTATATAACCTTTACCCTTTGCATACTAAGAGATTTGTCCTTGTTTTTGTGAAACCATAGCAACCCAGGTCAAGATTTATGAAGCATATTGTAGTACTTTCCAGGA